CAGGCAGAATGGGTGCCAACTGGAGCCAGTGACAGATATAGTATGGTCTCTTTACCTGGACCACATTCATTCACAGCACCATGAGTGCCCTGTATGCTGGAAGACAGCTCTTTGTTCAACACACTCCACAATAAATTTGATGATGCTTACATGCACACACATGCACTAACTCTGCAGGAAACATATTGGGGGTGGGGAGTGATCTCTAGCCATGCTTACTAAAATGGTTCAGTAAGCTTGACAAAATAGTCTTCCGTGTTTGCCTACCAATGAAAAGCAATGCTATTTCTTATTCTATCAGCCATTCACAACTCATTTCTTCTGCTCAGCAAATCAAACAACTCAAAGTAGGAATGAAGATGGCTAGGAAGTGTCCAAAAACTGGGAGGGGGAGGGTTGAAGGGCAATTTGTTTTAAAAACAAAATCAAGAGTTATTATCTTTCCTAAAAGTCTTGTTTAAAGCCTTCAGTTTTAAATAACATTTATCACGTACAATCTGAAAATGTGAAATTTCAATGTGTCTAAGGGGGATGTAATCTTTTCAAAGCCCTCCTTGAATTCACACTGTAACACCTGCTAGAGGCATGTATGTGTTACAGCCCTTACTGGTATGCCCAAATGCAATCCTTTCTACAAATTTATTCCTAGCTAATTTGTTAGTTGCAGCTATTATGCCTATGTTTGATTGTGCCTGCTAAGGTTCCTTGATCACCTCTGCATGGCAAATTCTTCTACCAAGGAAAACCTGAAAACAAATTGAAAATAATAAAAGAGTATTTTCTCTACCAAGATCATGTAGGCGTGATGCAACTCAAAAGGGTCAGATCAGGAAAACCAGCAAGGAACCTGTTGACCATGCATTACAGACATACGATTTAATTCTTTTCCCCCTTAAGCATTTTAGTATTTTTCTCAATCCCCACCCCACAAAAGTTTCTTCAGCTGAGTTCACCTTTGTCTTCTGAATGAAGGTCATTTAGCTGGCAGAAAAGGCTACTCTGGTCCCATGCTAACATATCCTTCCATTCCTAACATGCAAATCTAGTCCAGAAACTTCATTCTTTTAGAAAAACTGTTGCAGAAATCCAG